ATGAACTCGTTAGGCCTGAACTCGTCGACCCCCTTCTCTTGGAGATGCTTTTTCCCCACTTAACCGCTTTGCCAAGCTTGATTTGTGGGGCCCCTGGAACTTGGGCATCTCGAGAACCCGAGGTTTCGAGGTCGACCGCAGAGCTCGTATTGGCGTTTAGGGGAGGGCCGGCTGTATCCTGAGAGGGACTATCGGGGGGCTGCTGAGGGAACTGCCAGACGGTGACTGTGCTCCGGAATTCCTGCCCGGGGGTGCGGCATCGGCGGCGTCGGGCATATCGATGTCGGCTGCACCTTGGGCGGGACCGCTGGGCGACTGCGGTTCGGGATCGCTGCTTGATACGGCGTGAGCATCGCCCAGCAGTGAATTCATCGAGTGGAAACTTCGAAGGGTTCTTCGTCTAGAGCCGGGGTCGACCTCAAGTGGTGGGGGTTTCGTTGCAGGTGCATCCGACTGGCTTTCGCGGGGGGGCCTGCTGGAAGTGCTGGAAGTGCTTGCGGAATCGGTGGAGCCGGCGCTACTCTCTTGCTCGCTGCTCGCCGTCGATGACGCAGCCGAAGATGGCGAAGGGCCCGATGCAGGTGCCCCAGAGACTGCATTTAAGTCGATAGTTAGCTCTTTGTTTGGCGGTTGCCTGCCTAATGTGGCTGCTCACCAGTCCCGGCCGTATTCTGTTGGCGAAGCTCAAGTTTGGCCTGTCTCTTGGCCTTTTCAGCCTCTTGTTTGAGCCGTTCCTTTTCGGCCTCTAGTTCCTCTATCTTCTTGGCTAGCTTGGCCCGGACATTCTCGATCTCTTTGGCGTGCTGTTTTGCTAGCTGTCTCTCGATGTTCTCGGTATGTTGCTCAGTCTGCTTACTGGTCCGGCTGTACTTTTCTTCTTGCTCTGGCGCAGTTTGTCAAGCTCGGCCCGCAAGTTTTGGTTCTCCTCGGCCTGCCGTCTGATCTCCTCAGCCTGCTTCTCAGCCTGCAGCTGGGCCTTCTCCTTAGCCTGTTTTCTAAGCCTTGTGTTTTCTTCTTCCAGTTCCCGGATCTTTGCGTCGCGGTCGCGGTCGCGGTCGCGGGGGCGGGAGCGGCTTCCCAGTAGTTTGCTTTGAACCCATCGCTGGAACCCATCGGGTCCGTTGGAAATGTATTCCTTGACTTCGCGAGGCGCGTCATCAAAGAGATCGCTGGCTAGGGCTGCCATTGCGTCGAGGCCAGCTCAATCGAGCGAGTGATGCTTGAGTGGAAGAAAGAGATTCGCGCGACGTGGGGCAGCTGGCCGATTTGATGCGGACTACTTGCGGATTTGTGGCTGACGCGCTTGGTGATTGGTAGGGCTTTGGCAGCGCCAGGCAGCGGTTATGCATTGTTTGTGGCTGACGTGGCTTAGCGGAACGCGTTTTGTCGCGAAAAACCTGAGGATGAAATTTATCACGCCGTGTTCGTCGTGTCACGGCGGTTAGACAAAGGGAGACCCCTCCCACCGAAGCTAAAAAGCCAGGACAATCAGGACTGCCATTGTTCGTGGCACGTAGACCGGTACCGGTACCGTAAGGTGAGAAGGCTTCCAGGTTCAATATATTCCTAAAAGCTGTCTATCTTCTAGAGTACAAAAGAGAGTCGCACAGCGACTCTCTGCTCCCTTTTTGTAGAGGGAGCAGAACCAGAATGTGGAGACGTTGCTTGGCCGTCTCCAGTATCAGACCCTGGCCCGGGGTGGGTCTCTCCGGACCACAGGCAATTCCTGTGCGACCACGAGGTGCCCTTCCAACAATAGGCCTCACCGGTTCCTATACAGCCCTCGGTCAAGCAGTGGAAAGGCTCGAGCAGATCTCTTCCTCTGAAGCCCTCAGGGACGTAGTCGAAAGTATTAAGAAGCTATACGAACTCCTCAAACAACACTCCGGAGTCGGCTCATGGAGCCGCCTTGCGACACCGGCAACACCTGAGGCTACTCCTCCAGCTGCCCCAAAAGAACCAATCCTGGTGGACGACGAAAAAGACAAGCTGGAAGCCATCGTCTCTCGTCTCAAAAATATAACAGCAAGCACAAGCTCCCCAAACACACGTAGGCTGCCATATTGCGCTCAGGTTGAATGCCCATCAATGTTCCCTGTTTTCCTCCACCACAACGTCCACCCTCGCTACTACCGCGTGTTTTTGTCCGGCCATGGCTTGGTACTTACCTCCCTTCATAACATCTGGACCAAATTCATTTTTCTAACCGCAAATATACCTAGCCATCGTCACCGCTGTGCCTCGCTCGCCTCCGCATCCCGCAGTTTTACCGGGCAAGATAGACCGCAATTGCGCCGATGACGCACGGGGCAAGGGCGCATCGTCGAGTCTGCTATCCAGCAGCATCGTCTGAGATGAGGTAGTAGGGACGTCGGAGTTGGCGCGGGAGACAACGGCATGGCAGTCGCCTGACATGGAGGACGGGTTATGGAAAGATCAGACATGGCGCGTCAGGAGCTGGGCGGCCCAGCTACGACTTCGACTATTCCGGTCTAGAACGCCGCGAACAGCGCCGCGCGTGGTAACACATCCGCTAAATACCATTCTTCCCAGTCTGCCTTTTATGCTCTTGCGCTGGTGGAGCATAATCACCGTCTGGCTGAAGGCTTCATCCCTACACCACGTAACCTGACGCCGGAGCTTGAGAGGTGGCCGCCCAATCTGTGGTGCAAGGTCGGCTCTCGCGCCGACAACCCCTCCCTTTCACTCTGTCCCGTCAACTACAAGCTGCCGCCTGTGGAGCGCCATCGCTGCAACGATGTTGGCACCTGGCTGAAGAACCTCGTGGATCGAAAGAACGACGCCCCGTTTTTCACTGGCCCGTTCCCCGCCACCGCGCACTCAACAATCCCCAACTACGAACCCAGCTCGGCGGGGCTTACCGATGTTGACCGCCCCAACTTGAGTTCGGCTAGCGATGGTGCCTGGGGCCCGGCAGACCTGGACGAATGGCGTTCCGCCTACTACCCCAGCACTCGCCCCGACCCTTTCCCTACGCTCTCCCGGACTGAAAAGCCCTACCAGATTAACGATACGGAGCAGCCGGGCTGGGAGTCGTCGTTTTATTTGATGCCATTCGGGTGGTCGAGTACCTCCAGGATATCTGGCGTTGCCTTATCCTGCACGAGGCCTACTCTCTATCTTCTACACCTCTTGATGGCGGCGGTAAACGGTGACCTTTTCCAGATCCGCCAGCACCCATTCACTCAAATGACGTTCTCATACACGCGGAGAACGCAATGGAGCGACTTCGCCATGGCTGTTACGTGCTGGTGCACTAGATAGGGTTCTCCCGGGGAGATCTCAGAGGTTCAGGTCACTCAGCGGCCTGGAAGATGTGCGGGGTGGTAGTGCATTCAGTCAGAAAAGCAAGAAACGGTTGCTTGCCCTCCAGATCCCCTTGACAGGGGGTCTTGCAGGCCCTAGTTATACATGGTGCTGTGGCGGCCTCCGACCGCCACGCTGGGGCCCGAAGCCCAGCACAAAACCTTCTCTTGGGGTGCTGCGCCAGATTGGCGTAGCCTTGAATCTTGGGATGCTCTGTCAGATTGACGTAGCCTCGAATCTTGGGATGCTCTGTCAGAGTGACGTAGCCTTGAAGCTTCTCTGGAGGCCCGCCAGCCCCAGAACCTTGTCTGCGGGGTGTCCATCCTGTGGGGTGTTACAATGGCCAAGCTAGCACCCGACTCTGGCATCGGGCGCACCAGCAGGCAAGATTCTCCATCACGGTTAGAAAAGTAATGCCTATAGGCCACCTCTCCATTGCTTTTTGGCGCTTGCACTGTCGCGGCTTGCTCGATCCTACACCTGCATCTTTGCTCTCTGCTCCTAGTGCTTGCACCTCTGAGCAGATCGTCTCCGCTCTACGACCTTCTTCACGTTCTTGCTGCGGTCGCGTGGCGTTCGTACGTGCTGCCTGTTCTCGTCCTCCCCTCCGGCACGCTCGTCTCGAGCGTATGCTGACTTTCATGTAGATCATGTCTGTTTTTACCTCCGACTCGTACGCCAACCGCTACGTGCGTCTTTTCAACTTGCACCAGTGCGAGCAGGCTCGGATTTCCCAGGTCAATCTCGGCGACCGCACTCGTCGCCGCTTCAACCCGGCTGTTCCTCTTCCTGGCTTGGAGCAATGCCTCGCCCTAGCAGGAGCCCTGCGCTTCCTGCACGGCCGTATAGAGCACCGCGACATGGTGCACCTGCACGCCCACATAGACCTGAAGCCCAATAACATATCATCTCGGTGCACTCCAACCGCCCCGTCGGCGTATGGAAGCTGGCCAACCTTGGCTGGACAGCCTGCTCGGAGCGGACGCTGCTCGTGGTGGCCATGCGCCCGCCGCCGCCCCAGCGGCCGAGTGTTCCAGTCAAAAAAAAGCTACGGCGGCTGCTGTGGAATTCCTTGGAGGCCGGCGTGCCGCCCACGGCGAACGTGAGAACCTCACCCAAAATGGCGCCGAAGACCGGATGTTGCTCATACACCCCACGAGCACGCGCCCTTCGGCGTTGTGCCATAAGAGCTTGATTTTCGCCTGATAGGTGCTGGACCCGCGCCTGGATATGCTAAATTAGAATCCGCGCGTAAGAGGCAAGGTCTCTCGGATGGGAAGAATGACGGCCCGCTTGGTTAGGCATCCAGCTCCCCGGAGTCCAGAAGCTCACTGTCACGGACAACAAAGAGGAATCCCAAATGCTAAAATACAGGGAAAAAACGAAGACGTTAAGGTTATAAAAGATATCCTTTTCCCCTGCTGGACGCCCGACACCATACAGTTTTTAAAACGCGTGAATATATTTGTTTCCCACTGCGCCAGGCCCGGCGGGAATCATGGAAAGGGGTTTTGGCACCTGACAGCCCACTCTCAACTTGTTCAGGACAGGCAATAAGCTGTTTTGGGCGGACGGCCGCAGGGATGCGAGCCTAGAACGGGCGAAATCATGGCGCGCGGGGTGAGGGATTTCGGGGGGAGGTCCTCGTCATTCCCCGCCGTCGAGGAATCGAGTGTAACACCCCACAAGCACCATGTCCAAGCCCCAAAGAAGGATCATAGCGGGGTGGCCGGGGGCCGCCACAGCACCATGTATAACTAGGGCCTGCAAGGCCCCCTGTCAAGGGATCTAGAGGGTGAATGCACTACCACCCCGCACATCTTCCAGACCGCTGAGTGACCTGAACCTCTGAGATCTCCCTTGGAGAACCTCTTCTAGTGCACAGCACGTTACATCGAGCAGGCCGCTTCCGGCAGCGTAAGCGATCGACGATGTCGTCGTCCTCCTCCTAATTACCCCCTAAGTCAACCGTCCCCAAAAATACAGAGTGACAGACTATCATAATATCTTGATATCCAAACGAAGCCTATCTCCAAACTTAGCCCTTTCTCCTCTTTGTCACCCCTGGCCCTATGAATGACGTGCCTGGAGTGACACCTTGCTGCTCAGCGTTGCTCGACTGGACGTCCCGTTCGACAAGCTCTGAAACGGAGCCAGCATCTAACTGCATCAAGGACCCTAATTCTTGGGAAAGTCCTGTTGCCTCAGGAAGCGGTGGAACATCAAAGTCCAATTCCGACGGCAACTGATCAATGGCGGAGCAAATATTCTTGAAATGAGAAGGCATCCAAATGTCGTAAACATTCTTGGTGAATCGATACGCTGTCCATTTGTCCTTGCCGTCGAGCGTAGTAAAAGAGAATGCGCGGATCGGGTGACGGTAGTACTTTGTGTCTTTCCCAGCTATCACAGGGTAGTGGCCGTAAATCCGCACTGACCTGCGGTCATGCGAGACTGAGAAGGCGAGAATCTGGCGGTGGACTTCACGCTCACGCTCCACAGCACGAAAAAGCTCGACGATGGCCCGCACCGCGAGGGTCATGCTGTGGGCGTTCTGCCGGTCTGCGACATCGAGCCCCGCGGCGCCGCACTCGCATGTCAGGAATGGGAGGTACATGTAGTACGTGGCCATGAAGAAGGACTGGTCCCCGGAGATGAAGCCGCCGATAAATGGCGACAGCTTGGCGAACTGGTCATCGGTGAATGCCCCCCGTTTGAAGCCGACCGAGTAGTCCGGCTGAGGACGGGTGCCGGTGAGAGGCATCGAGTTGTTCCACCCCTCGTTGACGCTCTCAACCAAGATGTCAAGGTGGTTTGCACCGAACGTGGCAAGACTTTCGGCTGAAGGAACAATGAGCCGAGTAATATCTTGGATGATTCGCGCCTCGTTTTTGTTATGTATCTTCTGGCACGTCATTCTGAAGACGTCGTCGCGGAAAAGTATATCGCCGGGAACTGGCTGCGTCTTCTCGAGGAGAGACTGGCAGAGATGCTGGCTGGCGCCGGCCAAGTCCAAGGGAGACTCGGTCATATAGCTGCCTCTGATCTCGAGCAGGGTCTCATAACGCTGGTCTCGGTATGGTGCGCTCTTCGCCTCTCGCGGCTTCTAATCGCTCGCCGTTGTGGAAGTGGCAGAGTTGGACCGCTTACGCGACAAGTTGGATGGGGATTTCTTCCGCGCAAGCAGACGCTCCATAGTGGGAACCATCTCCAAGGTGTCTTCGGGCCTGAACAGGTCCTCTGGCCAGTGCCCTTCTTTCGCCCAGAACGCAATTGGGTCAGTGGGGTCGCCGCTGCCAATCGCTGGCTCGCCGAACGTGGTCTCGGCAGGGGGCGTGTCGGGCGATGTCCGTTGTCGCTTCTAGCCTGTGTCGGGGCTGTACTCGACAGATTGCTTGCGTTTGCGGCCTCGACTCTGGGCGGGTACTGGTGGCTGCTGCAAACAGTTAGGATGATTCAATACAACCATGGACAGAAGGCATACCTGTGCAGATAGCGTTTCTTCAAATGTAGAGGAACGTGGCCGATCGCGTTCGGCGCGCTTGGGAGCGGATTGCTCTTGGATGCGACCGCGCCTTCGAGTTGGGCTTCTACGCGACTGGATGCCCAGGGGCTGCTTTCCTGCCAACTGTTAACAAAGGATTTCATCTTGGCGCCGCGAGAGATTATTACCTTGAATTTTTGGCGCCGGCGATGCGAGCCGCCCCTGGGCCGCTGTCTGGGCCCGAGTCCGGGCCATGTGTGGCGTAGCGTGAGTGCCCGAATGCGCTGCGGCTGACAACAGGCCTCCCAGCGAGGCTGTGCGACAATGGTCCGCCCACTAGAGTGGGCAACCCCACGTTTTGGTAAGGGGACCGCAAACAGTGGGTCCGAACCCGCAAAACAGTGCCAATTCCCGCAACCATCGGGCACCGACCCAAATTATCACCAAAATCGGGGGATATCGCGAGAGAATCCTGTATATTCAGATTCACTTTTTCTGGTCCAGTGGGTGGGAAGACGCCCTATATGTACAGAGTAGGCCTGTTCCTCCCCCTGCCCCATGACGCACGGTACTGCTACAAATGGTGCATATGTTCAGTCACGTGCTCACTTTCGGCGGAACGGAACGATGACCTTGCCCCGGAGAGAAAGCCTGATCTCGGCCGCGCGCAGCAGGTACGCGCGCATCGACTCCTTGCGTAGGCGGCCGTACTCGCGATTCGTGCCCGTGAGCACATACCGCACCTGCAGCGCCCGACCGATGCCCGGGGCGCCCTCCACGCCCTTGGCCGGCCGGGCGCGGCCCGAAATCTTGCCCTAGTCCGTATACCGCCTGACAAGCAGCCAGCGCACGATCTCCGGGAACCCCCTGGCGTGCTCGAGCGCGTTCTGGACGACGGGCGACCCGCCCGGCGGACGCTTGACGTAGGCGACGCGGGCGCCGCTCCGCACCAGCATTTTGACGGCCTCGGCGCGGCCGTGGGAACACGCGGCCATGAGCGCCGTGCCCTCGGCGGAGCCCTCGAGCTCCGAGTCGGCGCCGCCGGGGTGCAGCAGCCAGCCGAGCTCCCAGAGCAGCCCCCTGGCCGCGGCCAGGCACAGCAGGCTGAGGTAGCGTGGCAGGCAGGCGTTGACGTACCGGGACCACTCGGCGTGCGGCCAGCGGCGGCGGAGCCGCGGCAGGAGGGAGCGGCCGTCGCCGTCGTCGACGACGAGGGCGAAAAAGCCCTTGACCAGGTCCGGGCCGCGCGCGACGCGCTCAAAGTCCCAGCGTCCGGAAAAGACGTAGGCCGTCATGCTCGAATTGAGGACGGCGTCGTGCAGCGGGCTGTAGGTGGTCTTGTCACGCGCGTAGGGGTCCAGCCCAACCTCGGGGCTGGAAAGGTAGTGGAAAAGCGCCGGCGAGGAGCTCTTCTCGGCGCAGCAGCTCAGCAGCGACATGCCGTTGAGGTCGCGGACTGTCGTGTCCGCGCCGCCTTTGGTGATGAGCAGCCGGCACAGGTCGACCCTGCCGGCGCGCGCGGCACGCATCAGGGGTGTGTTGCCGTCGCGGTCACGCCTGTTGGTTGAGACGCCCATCTCCACGAGGAAGCCGACGCCGGCACCGAAGCCGTTGTTAACGGCTCGGTGAAGCGGTGTCGAGAGCTCCCAGTCAATCCCGTCCACATCGGCGCCGCCTTGATTCACAAGCGCGCACGTTATTTCGATGGAGTCGCTCATGATTGCCATGTGTAGCGCCGTCGTGGGCTCCATGTGGTACTCGTCGTCGGCGAATAGCAACCTTACCTGGCGGTTTACAATCTCCCGCACCACAGGGTTAATCCCCGCCGCTGGCCTTGCGGCACTAGAGGCGACGGTTGCTGCCTGTCTTGGGCCTGAAGGGGAGACGGGGAGCCATTTACTATGGAGTATGCCACGCGGGCGGTTAGTATACTGAAATTTATGCCTCTAGGCTTTACGCGTCGGCGGGTGAGCGAGTTACTTACCGGTATGCAGCAGCATTCGAAGCAATATGCTTTAAAACAATGTTCACACTGACGAGGTTGCTTTGTTGCACGGCGATGTGCAGCGGCGTAAAGTGCGAGTTGAGCCAGTTGGTCCCGTCCCTGAGCGCGAGGCAGTGCGGCGCCTGCGGCCGGAGGACCGCGGCCTCGAACAGAGCGCTAACTTTGAGGAAGCTGTGCTTTTGGCAGCGCGTGGTGAAGCGCCGAGCTCCCCTGTCCAGCAGGAACTTAACGACGGGGTACTTTGCCGTCCACACGGCCAGTCCCAGGGCGCTGCACTCCCCGCACGAAGGCATCGTCGCGTCCGCGGGGTAGCCATCTTGGAGCACGAACGACAGCGCACCTAGGTCCCCCATCATAACCGAGTTCTCAAGCGCCTCAGCCATGTATCTTGTGGCCCTGGCCAGCCGCGCCGCTGGCAGGACAGCGCTGGCCGAGGAGCTGCTTTGGCCCTCTGTCGTCTGCTTCGAGTCCACGTCGGTCTTGGGTTGTGAAGCGTCCTCTTTGAGAAGGTTATAGCAGAGGTGCACGTTCCACTGGATCGCCAAAAGCAACGGCGTCCTCCCCTCGCTGTCGCGGAGGGCCCTATTGGCGCCGAGGCTGAGCAGGGTCCTAACCGAGTCTGGATGCATGGCCTGGACGCCCACGTGCAAGGGGGTGAGGCCGGTGACATCAGGCGCGTTGATATCGGCACCCTGCGCGACAAGATAGCGGATTGCGTCGCTGGCGCCGCCTATAGCTGCAAAGTGCAGCGCCGTCATCTTGCGGTCGAAGCACGGGTCCCCGACAGGGATCAGATGTTCCTCCAGGTAGAAGCGCAAAGACCCAACCTGGCAATTGAGCGCGGCAATGTGTAGGGCGTGGCAGCCCTGATAGATGCGCTTTTTCCATGCTTCCTTGGCCAGGGACACGGTGATGGAAAACCTCCTGACCCAGTCCCGGGCTAGGAAGCCGCGGCTCATCAGCTTGCGGAGGATCAGCACGCACCCTCGAGAGGCGGCAGCGAGCGAGATATCGAGACCATCGGGTAGCCTTATTGATGTTTCGGCATCCAGATCTAGCAGAGCCTTGGCGCTTTCCTGGTTGCTCTTCATGGCGGCGAGGATCACGGGGCTCGTCCGGTCGTCAGTCAGCCGATCGACGTCTGCGCCTGCTCCCACGAGGGCGACGATCTTGACCGAGCGACCCGCGTCTCCGCCGCCTCTCCTGTCGCTCGCTTCGCTTTCGCAGACCAGGTTGTGGAT